ACCTGTCTGCCCGCCCCCTGGGGTCCAGGCGCTGTGCTGCTGCCTCCGCCCTTCCCGCCTGCCTCGCAGCTCTCTGTCTCTGCCGCTGCCCTCACGGGAGCTGGGGAGGGACCAGCCTTTACGAGTGTGTTTTGCTGCATCTAGTCCCTAAATTCACGTGTCGTATGTGGCAGCTGGTGGGCACTGGAGAAGACGGAGGTGGAGAGCGCGTGCGCCCCCCGCCTGCCTCCCTGATCCTGCTCCCCGAGCAGCGGCCCCTGCCCTTCCTTCTTGGCCCCTGCTTCTCGCTGAGCACCTGCCGTAAACGTGGGTTTAGCTCACCTCCTGGGTTTTAAGCGGCAAACTGCCTAGAATCACCTCTCGGCCCGTCACCGGGGCACAGGGTCCCCTGCAGGCAAACGTGCAACCGTGGTGGTTGGCGCTGCGGGGGCTCCGAACCCTCCCCTCTGATGGCCCGTCCACCTTGCCAGGTGACTTTGGGGCCTCCAGCCCAGCGCGCGGACCCACGCTCCAGGCAGCTGTGGGGAAGTTTGTTTCCCCGAGGGCAGGGAGTCGAGCTGACATGCTGAGACTGTTCTGTGGTAGAGATCAGAGCTCTTTTTAGCCGGCCACTGGGACGGCGGGGCTGAAGCACCTGCAGGAGACAGAGAACCAGGAGAGCTCTGTGTCCCCGACTGCCACACGCCCACCGCTCCCTTCCCGCCGAGGCCCTGGGCGCCAGCCTCCTGTCCGCCCATCGCATGAGCCCTGCCAGCCGGCAGGGGCCGCAGGCTTTTCTCCAGGCCTCGCTCCTCCAGTCCCAGGCCTGCCGCGGAGGGGTCATGCCGTGTTTTGCAGGTGTGTCTGAAGTACTACGAGCATGAGTTCATGGAGCTGGCCTGCCAGTGCCCAGCCGTGGTCTGCTGCCGCTGCTCACCCACGCAGAAGGCCCGCATCGTGTCCCTGCTGCGGCAGCACACGGGGAGGCGCACCTGCGCCATTGGTGAGCACTGGGGGAGATGCGGGCCTGGGAGTGAGGGCAGGGTGGGTGTCGTCTGCCGGTCAGCGGGGCGAGCTCGTCCAGGCTCCCATCTCCCTCACTCTCCCTGCTCCCAGGTGACGGCGGGAATGACGTGAGCATGATCCAGGCGGCCGACTGCGGGATCGGCATTGAGGGAAAGGTGCGTTTGTCTGGGACCCACAGGTCCTTGTGGCCCCTCCCTGGGCTCCGCAGACCTCTCGGCCCCTCCAGCTCCTTGCCTGCGTCTCACCCACGGCCCCCTGTGCAGATTTCATGTCTTCTGACCAAATGGGGGCTGGGGTCTGTCCTGTGAGCTCCGGAAACACACCCAGAGGGACCGGACACGAGCCTGACCCCAGCCTGTCACCTCCTGGCACCTGGCGGTCATGGATCAGGTCACGGCGTCTAGCCCTCAGCAGCTGGGCAGGGGAGCGGTATGGCGGTTTCAGCTGTGAGGTGCCCGGCTGGGAGAACCGTCCTGAAGGTCTCTGCTTAGTTCCCATGGCCCCGACGATGCCGGAGCTGATTTCTGTGCTGTCCTGGCGGGCAGCCCCCGAGGGTGGGCGCACCACCCTGCTGGCCCTCTGCCCCGCGCAGGCCGCCAGCCCCTTCAGCGTGTGTGAGAGGGCTCAGTCCTTGTGGCCCGCTGCTGTGGGAAGGAGGGTTGCCAGCATCCTGACGGCGCTTCTGTGGTTCCAGGAGGGCAGGCAGGCCTCACTGGCGGCCGACTTCTCCATCACGCAGTTCAGGCACGTTGGCCGGCTGCTGGTGGTGCACGGACGCAGCAGCTACAAGCGGTCAGCGGCGCTGGGCCAGTTCGTCATGCACCGCGGCCTCATCATCTCCACCATGCAGGTGCGCGGGGTCTGCGTGGCGGCGGGAGCCGGGTCTAGGCCGCGTGCCATTCTCCAGGACTCAGGGGCTGCTCTTTTCTCTCCAAGGCTGTGTTCTCCTCCGTCTTCTATTTTGCGTCCGTCCCCCTGTACCAGGGCTTCCTCATGGTCGGGTAAGTGACGTCACCGCGGACTCCACGCCATGTCAGGAACGTGGGGCTTGGAAAAACCCGCCGGGTTCACTCAAGCAGCTCCCCCGCTCAGCACTCAGGGATGCAAGAAGCCCGTGTCCACTCACTGGGGGACCTTGGAGGCAGCCCCTGTCTGCCTGTCCCTCCTCCATCCTGCTGTTGAGTTTTCTCATGGAATTTCACCTTCCCGGGGAAGCCACGTTGGTGTCAGGGACTGTGTCGGATCCGAGGGTTTTTAAAGCATTCCGGGGCATGATGAGGGGGGCTGGTGACGACACCCTCGCATCCCAGCACAGAGGAGGCCCCCTGAAGCCTGCCTCCTCCTCAGGACGGGACAGGAAGTTAGCAGCAAAGATCCCCATGGTCAGGAAATGCTGGGATGGGGCGTGATGCTCCAGAACAGGCACCATGGGGTCTCCCTAGGGTGACGAAGCCTCAGAGACACCGCCGAGCAGCTCCGAAGGTACCTCGGAGAGCGGTGTGGGGTCTGGGGTGCAGCCCTCCC